AGTGTGAGCAGCTGCCATGCCGGGAAGATGGGCAGCACCACCGGCGGCGGCGATGATCACCTTGATACCGCGCGAGGCAGCCTTGCCCGCATACTCGGCCATGTAATCGGGCGTGCGGTGAGCAGAGGTGATCTCGACCTCAGGCTCGATGCCGAAGTAATCACGCAGCAGCTTCAGACCCGGTACAAGGGTTTTCAGGTCGCTATCGGAGCCCATGATGACGGCCACAGAGGGGACGGGCTTGGAAGGACCGGAGGGGGCAGCCTTGGTTTTAATATCGGGGCGCTGGGCACGCATGATGTCGACGACGTCAACGAGGGGCTGGATCATAGTCTCGGCTTCGTGCATGGTCGCGGCGGTGACAGTGACGTGGCCCATTTTGCGGCCAGGCTTTGCGGCGCCCTTGCTGTAGAGGTGAATGCTGGCGTTGGGGATGGAGAGGGCCGCTTCGGTAGCCTTGAGGTGGGAGTCGGGGGTTGCCCCACCGATGATGTTGAGCATGATTGAGGGCTGGAGAAGCTCAAGGCTCTTGGGTGGGATGGGCAGGTCGAGGATCGCGCGGATGTGGCTGTCGAATTGGGACAGTGCGCATCCTTCGATTGTCCAGTGGCCGGAGTTGTGGATTCGGCTTGCAAGCTCGCAGAGCATAAGGCTGTTGTCTTCAAGGAGGAACATCTCCACGCCGAAAGCGCCTTTACCTTCGAACGCGGAGACGGCTTTGCGGGCGAGAGCTTGCGCTTGCTGGTTGATGGCATCGGGGACGTTGCGGGCTGGCGCATACACCAGCTTGCATATTGAGTCCTCTTGGACGGTCTCAACGGTGGGGTAGGAGAGGACGTCATCCTTGGTCTTGATAACCATGACGGCGAGTTCCTGTAGAGAAAAGGTATTAGAGACCCTGCATGGTGTGATGTTCCAACTGCAGGTACTAACCATCTTGAAGTAAGCCCATTTCTCGGAGTACAGTGGGCGGTCCTTCAGAGCCTCGAGGGCCTCGGGGATATCTTCTTTGGAGTTGACACGGAAGTTTCCTTTGATACTGTCAACAAACCTGTAGACCCTCTCGCCATCATATATGACTCACCACGTCCGTCGTATGCCATAGTCTTCGACTTCAACATCATCGGGTAGCCCAACTGCTCTCCGATCTGAGCCAATTCCTCAGGTGTGTTGTTCACCAACTCCCGGTGGTCGGCCATAGGAATTCCATATTTGCGGAGGTGCTCCTTCTGGTTGAACTTGTTCTGAATTGTCCGGATAGCCTGCCAGCTGGGTTCCACCCGCACCTTCGACGAAACCTCCTCGAGGGCGTAGGTGTCGACGTGCTCAATCTCGGCAGTGATTACGTCGCAGGTCTCAGCCAGTTTTCGCACGGCGTCAGGCTCCTTGAAGGAGCCGGTCACATGGCCGTCGTGGGCACTGATCTGCTTGGCGGGGGAGTTGTCGGCGTCTAGGATATTGGCCTGAATGTTCAAACGGTTGGCGGACTCGACGAGCATGCGGCCCAGTTGACCACCGCCGAGGATTCCGACCTTAGGCGAGTTCCACATTATGTCGGATCGAAGGGATAAATGAGTTAATTAATCGAGATGTAATAAATGAGAGAGATCGACGGTGCCCCTCAACTCCGAAAATTCGCGGAGAGTCACGTGGCGCTATCGATAAGCTCAGGCCAATCACCGATGTTGACTGGCAGCTTCGACTCTCTTTCTCCATGCACAGCTGACTGGACAATGTCTCTGGGTAGGTTTACCGTCACAGTCACGGTCTCAGTCTGAGTTGCAATGGTCCTTGCTGATATCAAAATTACAGACGAGGAAGCTCTCCAAACAGCCGCCAATGGCGGCCCGATCGATTCGTACGTCAAAACTGTCATTCCAAGATCCCCAAACACTTTTGAGGCTAACGCGCTGGTATAGAGAGAGATGGAGCGGCATGGCCGGGCCACTGATTGAGCGACTGGAATACGTACGCTATACTTCGATGCCCCTGACCGACTTATCTGACCAGTAGCTCCAGATCGTATACAATGTGTTCCCCATGCCTCAAGCGCGCCCTGAACCCATCGGCCAGCAATCATTCCCCAACCATACTTCCCAGGCAAATTCCATCCCCGAGAGCAGCAACAAGGAAAACACATCCCCGGCCGATATCCAAACTTCACCCCAGGCCGCGCGAACTGGCTCTCCCCCTTCGAGTGAGCGAGTGCCAGACTCACAGCCAACTGGGCCAAGCACGGATGGCCAGCTTCCACCTCCGCTTGCATTCCTTCTAAGTGCTATCCGCTTGTCGATAAAATCATTCTTTGAGGATAAACCTCCACATACCATTCAGAGACTCGCAGAGCTAGTCCTCTACCCGACCAAGCACTACAGAACGTTACCCGCATATCTACGTGCTGTCGATCGCGTTGTCTCAGTGACAAGCTCCGCAGACATTTTCCCATTTCAAACACCGGCTGACACGAATGCTCAATCAAACGGACTGGTGCTTCCTGGCAATAGTAGCGGGGTATATATGGCCCCCGAATTTGCCCACGGTCTTGGGAGCGATGAATCCTTGGGCGGTGCACTGCTTACTCCGATCTCGTGGTTAACCAATGCCTCGTTCGAAGGCGAGGATGCTAATGGAGATTCGGGCATACTAGTTGAGGGTAATTTTATCCATTACTACCGAACCACTGGTTTCCCTATTCACTAACGTTTCCCCCTAGGCACTGAAGCTTTACCTACACAGTCCGAGGAACAGCGCATCACAACTCTAGTACCCACCGAAGCCGAAGAAGCGGCTGCTACCACCTCGCCAGAGCCATCTGACGAGGTCCCTCACGCCCGTGGCCCAATCGTGCTTGGTGTGGAAGACATGGGTCTGCAAGACGGTAAAGGCGTCGAGATGCGTCTTGCCGCAGACGGTGCCGCCGATGTCTCGACTGCAGCCACTACCCCTGCCACCCAGGCAACCGAAGAACAGGAAAAGGCCGAACCAACTGGCGACAGGGACGGTGATATTGTCCTCACAGGCACCAACCCGAAAGAGGGGGAAGAAGCCCAGAATGGAGGTCCTTCTACAGAGCCCCAGGCAGGCAGTACAGAATCTGAACCAACTGGTGATTCATCCCAAGCGCCGGACGCCGAGAAGAAAGCATAAGCGAGTTATTGGTTTTCAATCTGGATTTTTTCTTTATCTCTTTTGATTTTCTCGGTTGGTTTTATCCTGGATTCTAGCATCATGAGTAACGACCTACAAGATTATATCGATCAATTTTCAATGAAGGCTTTTGCAATCTGTACACCTCCATATACATAGTATGTAACTTCGAATTTACTTCAAGGTTGGGACGGATATTGGAAAAGATGACGTGAGATAAGATTGGATGGATGGATAACCCCGGTGGCCATATGTGCAGGTGACCTCGGGAAGTATCCATAGATGAAATTGGTATTGTCAATTAGGGCAAGCATGATCATCTGCACCTAACATGTGATCAAGACAATCTCTTACCTCTCCCATGACCTCGGGATCTCTTCTAATCTTGGAAGGTTCTTATCCAGCACTTACGAAAGTACCATTCAGTCAGTGATGGCTTGACACTAACCCCAGCTGAAAGTGGCGTTCAGACTCGTTGTCGGGGATTTCTCATGAATCTCATGCTGGAAAGTACGGTACAGGAATCATGGAGTCATTTACCAGAGACCTTGTGCGCTAGAATCCCAAGACACTGGAATTCACTCCCAAGGTTCAATCATACATCTAACAGCAATGGATATATATATCCAGAGCTTACCTCTCACCCAGGTCTCCTCACGATCAAGATGTAAGCGACAAAACTGGGAGAAAGAATCCTTGATGATTATTGGCTGGGAAGAAAGAGGTGTTGAACAATCTCCCATGCTTGCAAGCATGTTGTTTGCTGCAGACTGAGCCTTTTACCTTTGTTTGCTATTTGCTATTTGTTTGTTATGTTCAGATGGTTTCGCAGGGTATATAAGCCCCTGCATTATTAGTTTTACCAATTAACAATTCTTCTCCTGCTTTCTCCCACTCTCAGTAGTAATCTAAACGTCACTCCGATAATTACTCCAGTCCTAACAATTGCAAGCAAGCTATACCGCTAGACAATGTCACATATCAAAAAGTGAATAACATGGGAGTGAGATGGCACATGAAATGTTGTTGTAGTTCATCAATAAAGTTCATTCCATGTAGTTAACTACCTAGGTAGTCAAGCCACAAATGCAAACCAAGCAAACAAAAATTTAAGCATTGAACGTGGCGGGCGGCACAAGTCCAGCCACAAGGCCGGATCTAGAGAGGCCCAGAACTTCCTGCAAGGTCTGGGCCCTCCTGGACCTTGGAACGACTTAAAATACTTTAATCTTTTGGAATTCGGTCTAGACCTTACAGCTTATTTCTTCCCCTGCAGTTCGTCCGGCCGAATGCGGGTGATACTGGTCCTGGTGGGATTAAGTGGGGGGCATCCCAGTATTTCAGGTCAATTTGTATTGAGAGTTGGTTTAGTCTCTTACTGGGCGTACGTATGTTCATACGTACTATGTATTCATATACGTGCCCTTACAAGACTTACAAAACACAAGTCCCTGCAAAACGAGCGACGAGCCCTGGAATGATAGTGCCCCTGCGTGAACATAGGCAGATAGAATGTGAGAAAGGTAAAAGATAATAATATATTGTAAATATGTACCTGACGAAACAATCTCTCCGGCCTTGGAAATGCATGAACCCACGGTGGATATAGCTGACGCATGTAAAATCGCACAGAAATCGCCACCCCAATTTAAATCAAACCCAACGCCAGAACCTGTAAAAGGTGGGAGAGAACTGCGGCGATTCAAGACGTCCGCGCAGAGTAGCAAAATGTACGATTTGGAATTTCGAATTCGAACCTCGTTATAGACAAGTGGGAATCATGAGTCAATGGACAGGCGGAAAGGTGAAGTATAAAAATAAAAGGAGATAAAATGGCCGAGGGGGAAGTCGGTTTAGCCAGGTCGGCCAGCTTGCACAGCAAGCATTGGTTGAGGTTGGGAGTACATGCGCTGGCGTTTCGGCATGTTGGGGTTATCGGCGGCACCGCCCATTTCGGAGATTTGACGGCGATGCGGGGGACGAATGGGAGCACCCCCGGTTGGGACTCCTACTGGTGGTGCTGGGTACTGGACGCCGTTCTGGTCAACAGTGTAGGCGGCCGGTGGTGCTGTAACATATGGCCCTTGAACTGCGGGCATATTCGGTGGAACAGCTTGCATATTTTGAAATTGGCTGGGCGATTGCCAATTAGTCATTGACCCAGCGGGCGACTGGCCTGGAGAGCTGTCTTCTTTGATCGACTGGTTTGCTGAACTTTGAGTTGCAGCTGCCATGGTCACAGCGGCTGCGGAAGGTCGTACTGGCTCCATTCCTGGGTTCTGGGGCGAAATCTTGAGATGATCCAAATGTCTCTCAAGCATATCGAGAAGACTCTTGCGGGTGAATGGTTTGGGAAGAACATCATCCATTCCTAGAACAGGTTAGTGGAAGACCTTGATTCAATCTTGGATATTGATCTTACCATGTTGGAAATAAAGCTGGATGTCGTCGCTTCGGATGTTCGAGGTCATGGCGATGATAGGCGTGCGATCAAATTGGCGAATGAGATGGCATGCCGATACACCGTCCAAGTTCGGCATAATGATGTCCATCAGAATCAAATCGTATTTTGAGCCACCCTGGATTTTGTTCACAGCCTCCAAGCCGTCAAACTATTGGAAAATATTAGCAACCTTGTGCGGGTCAATAGGACAATAACCGATGACATACCGCAGTATCAATAACACACGAGAAAGAGTATAGGAATTTGCCGCCAATTTGCCGACAAGTGGCGTCGTCCTCAACCAAGAGGATCTGCGGGCTGCGCACCCAGCCAGGGTCCACATTCGTGCTCTTCTTCCGGTTGTCGGGAAACTGCCGACGAGCATCTGAAGTGTCTATTTCCTGCTTGGCGGGCATTGGGTACGGGACATTGTTGATATGCTCGCTGTACATGGGATCGATGCCGTTTGTGGCGCCCACGGGATATACCACTTGCTCCAGATCGCCAGCCATCTTGGGGTAAACGAGTCCTGGGTTTGGCGGTGCAGTTGTCGCGGGACGGAGGGTACCATTTCGCGCATTAGGATCCAAGGTGGGGGGTTGAAACGACGGCCTTTTGAGGATCGTTCATCGAGTCGACACCGTTCATATTGAATTGTAGTTCGGCGTTCATATCATTCAGGAGCTTTGAGGCTTGCTGGAGGGGCGATGAGGGTTCATCGTCCACTGCACCTACCTGGGAAGGGCTCATTGTCGTTCCGGGCGCTGGGAATGGCACGGCTTTGCTGTCTCGACGCTGGCGCGCATCCACCGAAAGCAAGTAGGTCATCACCTGGTGAATGACATTCTCATGGTTCAAAACCGTCTTCTGTACTCGCATCACTTCCTGTAACATAAGCTGATGATCCACCGTGAGCTGGGCGTAGCGGTCTGATAGATGTTGGATCTGCTGCTGTTGTGCCACAATCTGCTGGTTAAGAAGATCAATTTGTTGCGTGGGTACGGAGTCGTCGGTGGGTTGGGCTTGTTTTCGTGGGGCGGGTGCCTTTCGGCGAATGTTGTCGAGTGATTCTTTGCTGTTTGCGCGGAACTCTGGGTGCTTGAATTCCCATGCCTGTGTAATTCATGTGAGACCCACGATCCAATTGGACATTCGAATGGGAGGGGGTGGGGGTGCCTACATTCTGTCCGTATGGCGACTGGCCATTTTCTTCGTTGTTTTGTCGCACCTTGTGGAAGTCATATTTGTTCAGTTGGCGTACAAAACTGGCAAAATTGCTGTGTTTGAAGTGTTTCGGTAGGATGGTCTTGGTGAATTTCTCGCACTATGGGGGATTCAAGTTAGCCAAGCCCAAAGAGACCCGAATCTGTTTGGGCAAACAAAGCCACAGGCGCATTACCTCCAATACCACAAAGGAATCCCCTTCATCACCCCAGCGTACGATAGACGCATAGGTTGGGTCCTCCAGCATTCTGTGGGAATGGTCAGATTTAAAGAATCCCAAGGATAACAGGGTCAGTTTCGAAGAGCACACTCACTTGTACAGCTTGCGTACCTATTCATGATGTTAGTTAAAGGATCATCACAATATAGGGTCTAGGGTAGACACTATAGGGTCACTAACAAAATCACTGGAGTTCCCAGCGGGGGCGGGATTGGAAGAGGTCTGGCCACCGTCCATGCTGGGCTAGACGGGTCGCGACCGGGTCGAACAAACAGGTCTGGGTCTCGTCCCAACGCAAATAAACTCGATTGTAAATATAACGGGAGATGTTCGAATATACTCCAACAGAAAAAAAGAATATAGGGAAGAAAAGCCAGACCTTCTGGGTGGGAAGAGAGAGTAGGGGAAAAAAAAAATGAAATAATAACGGGGGGTACGGTCAGTTACTGGGTTTGGCGGTAGAGCCAAGTACCAAAGTTACTGTGGAGGTACTGTCTGGTACATGAGATGGACTTACGGGTGATCCAGTTTTCGTGTTATTTCGTGGTTATTTTAAGAATTCTTCTTTACCGTCAATACATAAATACATTTTATATTAACTGCTATTAACTGACTTAAACTGACTTAAACTGATTTAAACTGATTTAATGGATTTGATGAACATTTCCAAATGCAAGGAGGTTGATCTTAAATATCCCAGCACTCAGGGACCAACGAGGGGCAAAATTCCAGTTTTATGTCACACCACTCTTCCGAAGGTACTAACCTGGTATTGTATAAGTACAACTTCTTAAGACATAAAACAAAACAAAAAAAAAACAACTTCATAACCACATCTCATTCGCTATTAGGAATGTAGTTAGATGCAGGACAGACATGATAGAGGGGATTGTGTCAGTGCGCACGAGATGGAGGGGCATTCCCCCCCAATGACCTGATGGTGAAAAAAAAAAAAATGGTGAGACATTCGAATTAGCATAGACCCAGTGGATTCAGAAAGAGAAAGAGAGATCAAAGAAGTTCTTTCAAGTTTAGTGTGTAACAGGACATAAGCAGGATGTTGGATATGCTCCACTGAAATAACGCTTTTTAATATGTTTTTATATGGATAACATTTAGTGATCAGCCCTGCCATTCTCCGCGTGTCTCACCTTTTACTTTTTATGTGTTCGAGCTTTGGGTTGAACATGTTTGATTGTTTCATGAACCTATACAGTATATTAATCAGAGAGAACCCCTAATTCACCTTTTATAAGACCAGATATTAAGTGAAAAAGATATTGAATATGCTGTTAACATATATTATCCAAGAATTGTCTCAAAAATCCATGTCTTCACCGAAGAATTACCCTATAACACTTTGCAATGTGGTTCGCCATGGTGTAAAAGCCAAGGAATCCAGATATGAAATAGCCCAACACCAGTTCCCACCGTAGCACATGGCCATCATAACAAAAGCACATCATCACTTATATCACCTGAACCCTGGTCAAGTCCATTGTTCAAACACCTGTGTTGACGCCGAACTTCATGTTGAACTAGAAGATGACTGCATCCTTCAGCAGGGGGTTAATGATCCACCGTGTGACGGAGCAAGGATCCACTGCGTCATGGAGGAATAGGATGTGACTTCATATCATCCGATTCGAAGATAAGCTGTCCACCCTGTTCTTAAAAGAGTGTGCTTACTATAGGTGACAGCTCATAGAGGTTGCTTCGCGGTACCTGCGGTATAGCCTCCGCAGGTCACACTAGTATCCACTAGGACGAGGGCGAGTTTCTATGCCAATCAACGATGATGTGCATCAAATTAAAAAATATAAAGATGAAAATAAACACAGATTAAAAAAAAACAAAAAGCAAAAGAAGGCATCAACTATGAAAAATGTAAATATGAAGTAGGTGTAAACCGAGTTCGAGTTCCTGAAAATTAACATTGAATGCAATATCCACCCGAGCTCCTACCGAGCTCCCCTCGACATACCGCCCTTGCTCTCCCCATCATTCTACAACGTTCATTTCTTACCCATTCTCATTCCTTTCATACAATTAACCCAATCCCACCGTTAATCCCACTAAAAATCACCATGTTCGCCCGCCGTATCGCAACCAACATCCCCCGCGTTCGCGCGCAAGCATCCCTCTTCCACAGCACTGCGCCCGCGTTCGTGCAGAAGGGCGACGCCATCCCCAACCTGGACGTCCTGGTCGAGAACTCCCCCGGTAACAAGGTCAACTTGGCCAAGGAGATCAAGAACAAGGCTGTTATCATTGGCACTCCCGCTGCCTTCAGTACGTGAAGCTCACTCTACTTTGGTAGAAAAAGTAGAAACCAAAAAACCCCCCTTCAGGACTGACATTCTTCAAGGCCCCGCGTGCTCCAGCACCCACGTTCCCGGCTTTATCAACCACCCCAAGCTCAAGGAGGCTGGTCAGACTTTCGTCATCTCTGTCAACGACCCCTTCGTGTAAGCTATAAATCTTGACTTACAGGGCGAAAGCTTTGTTGGGACATTTGTTGATAAAAAGCTATCATATAGGACCAAGGCTTGGGCTGATTCCCTCGATCCCTCCGGCAAGAGCGGCGTAAGTCTATGTTCTCTGTTTTCTGTGCATTTTTTTATTATTATGGCGGCAGTGCTGATATTGTATTTCAACAGGTTCGCTTCCTCGGTGACCCCTCCGGCGAGTTCACCAAGGCGCTCGACCTCAGCTTCGACAGCAGCGCCATCTTCGGCAACGACCGCAGCAAGCGCTACGTTCTTCTCGTCGAGGATGGAAAGGTCAAGGAGGCTTTCGTCGAGCCTGACAACACCGGTCTCAACGGTACGTCTTTATTCTATCGAGCGCATCATTCTATGCTAACATCACTTGAAAGTTTCCGCCGCCGAGAAGGTGCTCGGTTAAAGTCATCTCTATATAGAGCTGTAATATCCTTGCAAATAGTAGAAGAAAATATATCATGCCCCAAGGCACAACATTTATTTCTGCGCCCTGCTGCACGGTACTTCGTAGCGCAAGATTTTAATGTACAAATATTCCATTTCTTTCCAACCCGGTCAACGCCTTATAAATCGATGCCAGAATTAAATAGAAATCAATGGCCGATTCTTCGTTCTGAAACTAATTCTGAACCCTTCAACCTTTGTTCTGGTCTTTAGTCTGGTCCAATTTCTTCCAAATATCCCTCTAGGAAGAGATCTGGTTCATCATAACCCCGTCTTTCAGAGAGATCAATTAATGCTGCAGAGCCTGCCACTGCTCGGGAGTATAGCACTTGGGGGTCCAAGCATGAATAGCAGCAATCTCGGCCTTGAGTGCGGAGTTGACGAGTCTGTGTCGCGCAAGCATAGTCTTGCTCTCGAATTGAGGGGAAACAATCACAGCCTGGAACGCCTGTCCACAGCCGCCTACAACAACCCAAAGAATAAAAAGGTTAGCGACAGATCAACAGGTAAAGAGAGAGAGAAAAAAAAAGAGAGAACATTTCGACGTCATAGCGCCCTCCCCATTCTCAATTTAAATTTCAATTTCCATACCGGATAAATCCTCAACCTCAACATGCTGCGCCTGCAGCGCTTCAGTCAATTTATTCTTCAGCGAGTCCACGGTGATTCCAGATGTGTCAGCCATAGCAGCGTTGATGGCGGCGTGGGAGCGCGCGGTAAGGGAAAATGAAGCCCGCTGGATATTATTGTTCGGGCGGAGGAGATAGCGGCAGCTTCTGCTCAGGGCGGTCAAGGAGGAAGTGCGGGAGAACATCAAGTATGTAGTCGAAGAGGGAGAGGGAGAGGGAGAGAAGACGAGAAGAGAGATAAAGTGCCAAACCCGAGGTTAGTTATCGCGAAGTATGGGAGTTTGCTCGTATTACAAATTCAGAGCCTCCGGTCGGCGGTGGCTGGTGGCTGGCACGTGTGTGGCTCAGTATCATTTTCCGTCGTCTTGCTCTTCTTCGGTCTTCAACTTGTTGGTTGTCTCTCTATGAATTTTCTTCGCACTGCTACACGTCGATACTCTGTCATGTCTACGCCGATGAGATCTTCGGAATGCTCGCCGTTCACTAATGTTGTGGTGAGCTCGATGAGAAAGCTGTAATTTCACCCCCCACTTCATCCCAGAGCTCCCCGCATTGTATGGAGCTTTGTTTAACTGGTTATATGCAGATACCCAGAGGCATTGGCGGATAAGAGCTTCGATAATACAGGATGTAAGTTCTTCATTCGATCTACTTACCATTTAATTGACTTCTACAATGTACTAACCTCACTCAATTATAGTGCTCCTGGAAGCTCCTTTCGACAAATCACGGATACAGACCAACTCGGCCCTCCTCACCATTGACCTCACCACGGCCGTTGCCGATGAAGCCATCAAAAACCGCAACTCGATTGTCGTCGCATACCGTAAGTCGCATCCAAGGAGTCAACATCCTTTCAATTGCCTCATAAACCTCGTCGAATATCTACAATCGGACCCGAAACCTAACGCAACACAATACTCACAGACCCAATCATCTTCCGCGGCCTGAAATCCCTCACCTTCGCCGACTCCCAACAAAGATCCCTCCTCCGCCTAGCACAACATGGAATCAGCGTCTACTCCCCGCACACAGCAGTCGACACCGTCCCCGACGGCATGGCCGACTGGCTCTGCGACGTGGTAACCGGAAACATCAAACAAGTCCAACAAACGCCTAACGCCACCATCGCCCCCTGCGCCTCGACCATGTACTCCGCCCCAAGCTACCCCGAAGCCCCCATCCCCGCCGTGCAGACCCAAACCTCAGAAGGCCCAGGCCCAGCACACACCAGATCCACAATCCACCCATCCCCTCCATCCTCAATCCCAGAAGGGTTCGAATCAGCCGGTGCCGGCCGTCTCGTGACCTTCACCGAGAACCAGCCGCTCACTACCTTGATTGACAACATCGCTTCCGGAATCGGCTTGCCGGGCGGTATCCCCATCGCTATCCCGCAAGGCCAATCCGTCGATGATATCTCCGTTCGCACGGTGGGTATGTGTCCCGGGTCGGGCTCGGGAGTCCTCCTCAAAGGTGACGGGGAGCTCCCTGATCTCCTGTTGACTGGTGAAATGAGCCACCATGAGGCTTTGGCTGCCACTGAGCGTGGCTCTGTTGTTATCTCGCTTTCGCACACGAACTCGGAGCGTGGGTATCTGCGTTCGGTGATGCGGCCTAAATTGCTCGCTGAGGTTAAGCAGCAGTGGGATGCGGCTTTCCGGGATTCTGTGAAGACTGTTGATGATCTCAAGAAGTTTGATGGGGTTCCATCGGCGGCTGTGCTTCAGATTCGGGACCTTTATAAGGATCAGGGCGATGTTGTGGTTTCTGTTAGTGAGACTGATCGTGATCCCTATGGTATTATGATTTGGCGTGGTAATTAGGTGCTCTTGGCTTTGCACTTGATATCTAACATTACTATGGGAAAGAAAAGCGCAAAATATAGTTACAATTAGAGACATCATGAGAACCTTTTTTTATCACCCACACTGAAGTATATCAGCTAGTTCGATCAATTTGACCAGACCTATAAGCACTTGGGACTAGAACTATGCATGCAGTATGAGGGAGTCTGATAAGATGTCAAGAAAGTGGTTTGAAATGAGAAGGATATCCTAATGGGTAGACAATGACAGAAACACAAAAAAAAAGTGTCTTGAGAGAATACAAGACGGGATGAAGGACCCAGGTCAAACATCGAAGAAATGTAGGCTATCGGAGACATGAAGGAAAAGAAAGCTCGAATTTTTAGCCTGTCCTTCACGGCTTCAACAAGCCCCACAATTCCTGGATGTAGGAGGATTGTGGCGAGTATCGAATATCGAGTAGCGATATGGATAGAAATGAAGGAAACAAGAACAATGAGACCGGGTAAAAACCAGACGACCAAGCCCCGAATGAGTAAGCGAGAACAGAAAGAAAAAAACGAGATAGATGGTATCCGCGTGAGTGGCCTTAGCGAAGTCAGGAATGAATCAATAAAGAAGAGCTCCACGAAACAGTGACTACAGATCAATCAGGCTACCGCCACCGCGCTGTTGTTGTTGCTGACCTCCCCAAGGGTTGTTATTGACAGGCTGTTGCTGCTGCACATATCCGGTCTGCTGCGGCATGCCTGTGAATTGTTGGCCAAAGAATGGGTTTCCGGTGGGAGTAGCGTGTAGGCGGTCCAGACCTTGACCGGCTGAGTTGACAAATGTGCCAGGTGCTGTGTGCTGTGCGGGGATTCGGAGGTCTCCAACATTGCCGAAGGTATCCTGGCCTTCGCCTGACCCGAGAAGGGCATTGAGACGAGCATGGTGAGGGTCCTGTGGCGGGGTACTCTTTGGTGGCTGTGGGGCCTGGAAGCCGGCGATCGGGTTGGGCTGAGTGGGTTGGGCGAACAGAGAGCTTTGGCCGTACTGCGCATTGTTCTGAGCAAACTGATTGGTTGCACGGTCCTCCGATAAGGAATTGAGTGTTGGCGGGCCTGTTTGTGCAGGGTTGTTGAACTGTGTTTGGGTACGCTGAGCGAAGGGGTTGTTTGATCCTGTTGGCATGGGCTTGAGCGCATCAGCGGGCTGTAGATGCTGCTGAGGCTGGTTCCCTGCCCATGGGTTATTGCTTCCTGCGGTCTGGTAGTTCTCCTGGGGCTGTTGTTGCTGTTGCTGTGGCTGCTGCTGCTGCTGCTGCTGCTGCTGGGAGTAGACATCCGCTCCATAAGGGTTGTTGGGATTGAACGCGGTGTGCTGAGGTTGAAGTGTGGCCTGCGGTTGCAAAAGGTTGTTCTGTTGCTGGCCGTAAGGGTTCTGATCAAAGGCCGAGGGCTGTGCCTGATATCCGTTGGCGTAGGGGTTATTCATGCCGGTGGGCTGGTTCTGGAATCCTGTCGGCTGCGCGTACTGGTTGTTCAGGTAACCAGTTGTCATAGGCTGCTGCGCATTGATCGGGTTGCCAAACCAGTCCACAGCACCTTGCTGTTGGTAGCCTTGGTTGTAGCCAGTTGGCTGGACTTGAGCTGGGGTGTCGTCGAAGAGAGCTTGGGCGTTGCTCTCTTCCAATTCGCGCTTTCGGAGATCCTCCTCTTCCCTACTAAGCTTGAGGGCCTTGGCAAGATCCTCATCGTCGGTTACCATTGTCTCCTTGGCCCGTCGCCTGCGCTCATCCTCGGCCTCGGCCTTGCTGGCTTCAATAGCTAAGCGATATTCGGTGTCGGAGTCATCCTCCCCGTTGCGTCGGCGTCGGTCTCTGCGCGGCGGTTCCACGGGGGAGTTTCCGTAGCCTTCGTCGAGTCCGCTCACGCGAGTCTTCCACAGTTTGCGATCTGATCGTTCACTGCGCAAACGATCTTCATCCAGTACCAATGCAGTCAATTCCTTTGCCGCCACGCGAACTACAGCACACCAAGTCAATTTTACGACCCCTCATGTTTATTCTTCCGGAAACGACTTACCGTTCTGGCCAACATCCCTTGATTCCTCGTCCACATATGTGAACTCGCGCAAAGTCTTGATAATATAGACATTTTTCCGGGCCCACGTTACCACCAACTCCGAGCCTTCATGAAGACAGTAGTCCAAGACCTTCAGCGACTTGAGCACGTGGCGCCAGTTCTTGCCCTTATCGTTAAGTCGCTTGTCAAGCATGTCCATGATCTCGTAGAACTCGTTCGGACTATTATGCAAACGGCATTAGCGGGCGCCCACCGGGTTGGTCGCAGATTCCAACTCACCTCCCGAAAGTCATGGCGGCAATCTCGGACATGTCAGTGCCCGTAGGGCCCCAGGGGTCATTACTAGTGGCTGAGAAAGTAAGTTAGTAACTTGGTAACTATGTGTGCGGGGTGGATGGGCGCAATGCAAGCAAGCAACTCCCCCAGGAAAAGACAGGGGCAGCAAGTCGTAGAAACAGCAGTTCTACATATGCGACTGCAACTCGATGATCGCCCGGGAGTTTGATGTAGTGGAATCGGTGCATACCATTTCGGACCTTGACCTGCACTGAGGAATATCCTTTTGTGACGTTCTTCACGCTCCGCACGACTTTAGACATGGTGGCGGTGATGCGACGGTCGCAGTTTTAAGGGAGATAGAATAGATCGTAATCGTCGGGTGGAAATCGATGCGAAGGATTATATTATCGCAGGAGAGTATTAAGATTGCCAAGCACACACAGCCCTCTTTCTCCGTTGTCGCGGCCCAAGGTAGGTTGTCAAGTGTGTCCGGCTTTGAAAGGGACAGGTTGACAGATTGGTTCAAAGGGGTTTCAAGGGATTGAGAGCTTTGCCTTGAAAAAGTAGTATTGGCAAACAATAGTCGACAATCAAAGGATGAAAGGTGAAAAGTGAAAGAGAGGAGAGGGGATGGCTCGAACGGGGGGGAATGAGAGGGCTTGGCAGTGACGAAGCAGTTTGGACCAAACTTATACACCTAAGCACTCAAAGATCTACACTTTGGATCTTTGAAGAGAAGAGATTTTTTTTTTTTTTTCTTTACTTCACTTTGTTATCTTAACAGGTCCTGGAGTAGACCAAAAAATCAGCTCTAAGATCTCTTCAATGGACCATTTACAGTGGATGTCCAAATGCCGTTACACCCTCGTGGCCGGAGGTCCGGTCTAATCGCCGTGGTACTTTTTTTTCCCACCCTTTTTCCCCTTTATATATTGACCGGAATAAGCAATTCACTATCTAACTTCTATATATTGATCTTATTTGACATATTCTATCAAATCTCATTCCAATTCTTACTTTACAGATGTATCAAAAAAGGACCAGATCCAAAAAAAAGACATGGCATGTTTCCCGCCACATGTGGCGGTATTGGGCCGCGTCAGAACCCTTGGTCTTGTGGTCAGGCAACAGTCAATTGATGTCTCGGATATTCTCAATTGAGAACATACAACAAGGTACCAGATATAATATGTAGTATACGGTTATTCAAACTTCATATTTGAGAATCTCATGAAGAACCAGCTACGTCATTTACTCTTCTAGAATGCAAGAACACTCTTGGCGCTCCGATCGTAAAGGCCCACATTGGGGTTGAGATCGGTTTATATCCACGAGTTTTCTTACTACATATCCACTTTTTTTTGTGGTAATAAATACACCTCCTGGGAATAGTTCTACTGGAATGAATGCGGATTCGGTCAGGCTCAGTACTCATGTATGTGTAGATGACCAATGATCCGTAAACTGTAAGAGACAGGACAGCATGTTTCCAGAGCCAGGCCTATTCGAACTGCATGGCCTACCAATACATCCACTTCCTAAAGTTAGATATCATGGGAAGGCAAACTTTCTACATCCTGAGACTAGACGGTGCTTTCTATGAGCTTGGACTACAGGGGACCAAGGTGACACCTCAACACGAGACCTCTGAATATCTGGCCTACAGCCTCCTATATGGAGGCTGTAGTTCATATACAGGAACAGCCTACGATACTATTATAGACACTAATCTTAAAGCTACATAGTTATCTAAAGCTTGGAATGTATCGAGTAACTACCTACCTAGGTAGTTAGGTATCTAGGTAGACACATGTATTCCGTGGGACCGCCAATGGCTATAGAGCCCAAGTGTTTGCTCAACCATGACTTTACCGAAGGGCTCGCACGAGAACTGGTATTTGATCTGGTGGGCATCGAGTATATGGTATGACTCTCAGCAACGGGGTAATGCTGACGTCTCAACATAGATGTGCACACACCATGTGCCCTCCGCCTGCGCTGTCTTGGGGGCTACGGTAAGACGGCGGTCGAGAGGGTTGAGGAGAGAAAGGGGAGAAGAAGAAGAGAAGAGGTGGGAGGGGGGTGGGTGCCCTTTTATACCCCCAGGCACATGCGTACCTTCCCAAAATGGACAGTTCCCATGCACCTTCCCTATCAGTGTCACATGTATCGCACCTTCCCAATCCGTATATGGAAATTTGTTTACACGCGGTCTCTTAGCATTTAGGAAGGAGCCATGGAGTCAGTAACCCAGGCACCTTGACTACATGTATGCTACCTAGGTAGAACCTTGAAATCACTCAAATGGATTAATTTACTAGTTCAATTTCGAGTCCTGGAATGTTATTCAAGGATCTCAAGCAATCCCATCTGATAGAGCACCAGCAATACTTTCAATGAACCCTTTCTTCTGCATCCCATCCACCCATTCACCAGGAATAGCATCAAATCCATAGAACGCCCCCGCGAGACCTCCATAAACAGCCCCTGCAGTATCCGAGTCACCACCCAGATTGACAACTGCCAACGCCCCCTCCTTCCAGGTATCATACTTGAAGAATGCCCACAGAGCACATTCAAGTGTATCGACAACCCATCCACTACTCCTCATATCACTGGGCGCCTTCACCTCCCAATCGTTGATCGTTTTGTATCTGTGCTGTGACAGGCGCTCCTTCAGGGCAGGATGAGTAAATGGGAACACGGAGACCGCGTGGACGATTTCTTTCTTCGTTTGACCTATAAGCAGTAGACGTCAGGAGCAATTCTTGCAGTCGGAGAATAAAAAAACACAAACCATTCATAACCCTACACACCAACTCCGTATACGCTTCACAGGCTTCCACACACGTGAGCGAAGGATGAGTGATCTGGCTATGTTTTCTGGCAGTTTTTCTCGCCAATTCCGAATCTTGCCAGTAAACCAACCCAATCGGGACGATCCGCATCAAGCTCCCATTCCCGGAGAACTCATCGCGATTCAATTTGTTAGTGACCTTCGCCTGGGCAAGTTCGAAATCACCACCTTCCATGCCACACTTCACCCATATTTGAAGTGAGGTGCGAGTGGAGCGTCCGACATCCCATGAGCGGTTGATAGTGCTGAAACGGCCTTTGGTTCTCCACTCGACAAAGTGCTGGATTGCCAGCTCATGGTTGTATTGCATATTGGACTTGTTGAATGAGCATGCCAAGGCTAGGGTCATAGACCCGTCGTCGGAGTAGGAGCTTGTTCATGTTAGTCACAGGTACTTTGCTTAATATGATTGTGATGGAATCTTACCCAGCTGGTTGTTTGAAGGGTGTAACAAATCTTAAGCCTGTGATCGGTTCGAAGGTTCCTGGGTCTCTGAATTGTACGGGGCCGCCGAGGGCGTCGGCTACGCAGACGCCCCAAATGGCGCCTTTGGCTCGGGATTGTAAGGATGGAGACATGTTGATGTTGATGTTGATGTTGATGTTGATGTTGATGTTGATGTTGATGTTAATGGATATTTTGTTTTTATGCCGAGGGGATCTGTCGTATTTAAAGATGTCGTCGGAAGTGACTCAAAGAGGGAAAGAACCTTGGAAAGTCAGAAACCTTCAGATGGAGTCACCAGGGCGCAGCCAAGGGACTCAAGGAACCTCAATAACATCGAAACTTAAATGTGACATTGCTAGTGCAAAGACAAATACGAGCCTTGGGATGATTTGTATGGAGTACGGGCTCAGCCTCACGCTAGGCACCTGTGTCTACAGCCTCATCGACTCACCCCATGAGCTTATAAGGCTGAGGCTGAATATACTCCAATAGGGCTGCAAGTGCAAAAATGCCAAGCAGCCATGCTCAGCTGTGATCGAGTAGTAGCTCATGCCCGAAGAATTTAATTTCCTACATCAATAAACATCTACTTATGACGAGGCCAGGATTGACAAGCTCATTGTCGTCCCAAGAACCATAAAGAAGCAGCGGGATGCCACGAACGCTCAGCTTCTTATATTTCTCGTAGGGGAGACAGTCGATACCAATTCGTCCCGAAGGAGAAATAGACTAGGACGTTGGTTTCCGGAAGGACGGCTTCCATTTTCTTTTGAAGCCATGGCTTGCGAGCCCGATTGTGTTTACGAGGATTTGGACGCCTTGTAGGGATTCTTCGAGGTTGGCTTCGTTGTAATGGCGGGTTGTTGGCTTCACGCCGGATTGGTGAGTCGTCGTTGAAACCAGTATATATTAGAATGACAGGGTGAAATGTGTATTTTTTTCATGAATTCTCTACTCATAACACATAAACCGAAATCCAAATCAGATTAATGCCAACATGAGAGAGCGTGTGGCCCTCAGAATTCTGTTCGTCCCCGCATTGAACCACCAGGCCCCATTGTGTAACCCTAGGGGCTGACGCTTCTGCAAAAGGAAAAAGGAAATATAACAAGTCTGCTTGTGCTTTTATTCCCAAATCCATGTCCGTTACTTCTCCATGCTCAGGTATTTCGCCTCAGCACCCTTGATGCACGCGATGTTGGCGCCAAGTTTGTTGATCGTCTCAATGTACTCATCATAGGGGTCTGAGTCGAAGACAATACCACCACCAGCCTGGAGGTATGCCACGCCGTCCTTGACCATCATAGTGCGCAGCGCAATACATGTGTCCATCGCACCGGGCATCTCGGCTGAGCCATCTGAGTTGGCGCTGTTATATCCAAAGTATCCGACAGCTCCGGCGTACACGCCACGCTTTTCACCCTCCAGCTCGGCGATGAGCTGCATGGCGCGGACCTTAGGTGCACCGGAAACTGTACCGGCAGGGAAGATAGACCGGAATGCGTCGAAACGGGTCATGCCTGGCCGCAACTCTCCCGATACTTGGGAGACTAGGTGCTGGACGTGTGAGAACTTCTCCACGACCATCAGTCGGTCGACCTGTGTTGTGGTAGGGTCGCAGACACGGTTGACATCGTTGCGGGCAAGATCGACCAGCATCACGTGCTCGGCGCGGTCCTTGAGACTGCTGCGGAGCTCCTCGGAGAGGGCGGCATCTTCCTCCGGGGTCTTGCCGCGCTTCACTGTGCCTGCGATGGGGTGGCTGATGATACGTCCACGCTCTTCCTTTGCCAGGAGCTCGGGGCTGGCCCCGACAAGCTGGAAGTCTTGACAGTCAATATAGAATAGATAAGGAGAAGGGTTGACGGTGCGAAGGTGGCGGAAGAGGTTGAACGGGTGGAGAGAGGTAGGTCGTGATAGACGCTGTGACGGCACGGTCTGGAAAATATCGCCCTTGGCGATGTGCTGCTTCAACCGGTTGACGTGACCTTCATATCCATCCCGTCCGATGTTGGATGTATACTCCTGGTTCGGAATTATCGGGCCCTGGGGCGGAAGCGGTGTTCGATCCTGGAGTAGCGTATCGATCGTCTTCTGGATGATGGACTGGCCCTTGAGGTACGAGGCCTCGATGTCGGCATCCGCCGAGGGAATGGGAACGTAGGTAATGACCTTGACGACTTGGAAGAAATGATCGAATGCAATAATGGTGTCGTAAAGCATAAAGAACGATTCGGGCACTCCGAGCACGTCTTTCATCGGCCGCGCCGTCTTGGGCTCAAAGTATCTAACACAGTCGTATCCAACGTATCCGATCGCCCCGGCGGTCAACGGCGGGAGGACTAATTCAGGTACCGTGGCGACGCGGAACTGAGAAAGCTCCTCCTCGAGGTATGGGAGGGGATCCGCTGCTGGGCCATGGCCCTCGCCGGTCTTGATGACCTTTCTGGGGTCTATTGGGAGGAAGAGGTAAGCGATGGAATCGGACCAAAGACTCCTGCAGAATCACTGACCTGCGCCAATAAAGCTGTATCGTCCAATTGTCTCTGTGGTGGCAGCACTTTCATACAAGAATGACAACCGCGAGCTATGTCTGTGAGTCAGCGATCTTGTCAAGTATTCCATGCCCTCGGCCTCATCGCCAATGTTGAAAACAACCCAATAACTCACTTCTCTGCGATCTTCAAGTATGCCAATGTGGGGGTTAAGAGGTCGGCAGGGATCGACGCCGTGACAGGAAGTAGGTTGGGAGGGAACTCGGAGTTCCTCGACTTTGAGATCACTTCTCGCGCCGCCTCAAGGGACGGGATGCTAGGGACCTGAGTCATTGGTCAATGAGCGTAAACAAAAGTCTCAACGGGGGTTGTCGAAGAGCGGAGAAATACAATAATAAAACAGACGCGTACTTACAGGAGTTGCCATTTTGTTATAAGTGGCTAATCTTGACTATTGACGGTGCTATCAAAGAGGAAAGATTGGGTTGGCGGTGGGAAAATGATTCCCTGGTGGGGGGGAAATGGATGTATCGACGGTCGGTCCAGGAATGCGCCTCAGCTTGCAATGTATTTGATTTGAGGTGTGACAAAATAGTCAAATAGTGATATCAATTTTAAAGCTCCTTATAAATTCATCGCAGTAAACCTCGAACCTCAGAAAGCTTATGTATGTTGTACGTTCGTACACGTTTGTATCCCAGTGATTATATGCATCCAAAAGCAGACTAGCGTCGAGGGTATACCGATCTATCGATAAAGGCGGCTATGGACCTGTAGAGACCTATATTGTACAAGACTTGAGTTGAAAATTGGGGTATTTTCTTGATTATCAGACACTAAAAGTGAATTTCAGAAATCACAGATCCCACCTGAAATGGGTGAAGGGGGAAAAAGGCAAAAAAGAATTCCACCGTCGCCAGTCCATGTCATTTCGCCGTGCCCACCCAAACCTGTTCCAAGCAATGCATGCCAGTATGCATTTTCTAAAGAAAAATGTATGTTCACAGAAGACAAAAAAGTTTTAAAAAAAAAGAAGAAAAATTTCTGGGAAATCCATGAAGGGTGGTAGTGTGTCTTCAAGGGAAAGAGTTTGAAAAGGCTTTTCAAGCGGGATTGTTGAATTAGTTCAAACAGGGCATGAGTCATGAGTTATATGTGGCTGTTTCAAACCCGCTCTGTCATCGTTGCAAATTGATGATTGCCATCTTGGGAGATTGGACCGTCAGCATGGGGGGAATTGACACAGAGAAACCAGACCAGGGAGCGTACCTGTTTGTTGAAGCCATAAGCAAGTCGTTTTCCATCTGCATCCCAGGAAAGGGCCCGATGTGGTTCTGGTTTGGAATAGCCATTCTGTCCATGGTGTCCATTCTGTCCATTCGTCATGCGGTCGGTTTCCTCTTTCTTCACCACCGGGCTAGTTGCGGTCCAGGTGGACATGAGATTCCCGCCGGGGTGTTGAATATTCCAGATAAAGAGTCCATCCTTGCTAGCCGCACCGAGGGCGTATCCATCGGGAGAGAAAGATCCGGTTATAGCGGGATTTGAGTCAAGGCTCAGCTGATGAATGTTCGTGTAATCCTTGGTATCGAGGTTAACCTGCCAAACCTTGACCTTACCATCCACCGAGAAGGAGGCAAATTCAATACGATGGGGGTCAAATTGGGGGGCTTATATCAATGCCGGTGATTCTGTCCTTGTGGGCGTTGGGGATAAGGATGTCATGGGTGGGGATCCAAATCGACGCGCTCAGTCCCGAAGCCACGATAGCAACTGCATGGGACTCAGTTTGGACACACCGAATAAACTCCCATGTCGCATTATCTTTGGGAGAAGGAAATGTCTTAACAAGGCGGATGCTGCTGTCCACTTCGCATTGATAGACTGCACCCTCGCCAGAAGCAAATGCCAGGTTGCGTCCACACCAAGCGAGATCATATATCTGGTTCTCAATTATCTGAGGTGGAGGGAAAACATCTGGTCGGCGGCTGTCATCCCAAAGCGCGAGTTCCGATACGTTATGATTCGAGGCTACCACGATCAGCTGCGAGCTACCAGCTGCCCAGTGCAAGCCAGTGATGAGCCGGGGTACCTCTGGTAGTAAATCCACTGCGTCTCCATTGACGTTGTACATGGTGACAGTGCCCCTGTCATCAGTACAAGTCGCGACGGCCAATTTCTCGCCAATGGCATCCCATGCTACAGTCGAGACGTTTGTGTCACCCTTCTTAAGCTCGAGGATTTTCTTCTGTACAGGATCCGATGACATCGACAACTTCCACAAGCTGCAAAAGAGGTCACCAGCCCCCACTACCACAGTGGGATCCCGAGGACGCCACACGGCGTGGGTCACGTGTTGATCCGAATTCAGCAGGGCGGTGTCGGGGGTCAAATCGATGGGCTTGGCGGGGGCGATCTGGACGGAAGAGCTCTCGCTGTTTTCCAGAGTGGCCGGTAGTTCAGGGATCTCCTCGGCCATGCTGACATCACCATCCTCATCCATATGATCGGGCGTATTTGGCTGACTTTCAGTTTGCGCCTTGTCCTCCATGGATTCATCACTATCAGTTTCATCCTTTCGGCTGTCCTTTCCGGGCTCGGCATGGCCGTTCACCGGGCGGTCGCGCGCAAGTTGACCCGGGGAATCTGGTTTTGTGCCAACAGCCTCATCGCGACTTTCCACTGACCCAGGTTTGGTTCCAATTTCAAAGGGCTCTGGCCCGAAAAAAATAATCAGACGGTGAAATGCTTTTATGATTGCCCTCCTGTGTATTGCAATTAGTTTAAACTGTATTTGAACCCAAAAAGAAAGGGTTTTTTCCCCCTTCGTCTTTAGCGCGTAAGAACCGTTTAAAATAAAACACATACCTTGTCCAGCGAGGATTCCATGTCATGATATTGCAGGCCCTTTTGGACCAGCGACACCAGCGCATGAGTTTTAATGTAAGGCGCAAACGGGAGAGTTTGCGGATCAGGGAACCACGCGCGCTGCAAAGACACAGCAGCATCGCCATGACCTAGGTTGAGTTAGAGGTCAAATTAGGAAAAGTCAAGGGGCAATGTGACCAACCTGCTTCTTGAAGGTACCTAGAAAGGATATTAGTTCTGTAGGAGATGCATGGGTTAAATTGCACTTACCTCCATATTAAATAGTTGACATGATGCGACGTGAGGTCAGGTTGTGCCATGATTACATGTGCGACCAGCTAAGGGCCGCGGACATGCCAGAGAAGGAAGAGCTGTTTTGCCGATGAACACCAAAGTGGAGGCTTCGATGCGCGGAGACGGAGCTTCAGGAACACGGAACACGAGGCCGGAAGAGGGTAGGAACTTCCGGATAAATCAAAAAGGGGGGTGCTTGTATTTTCCGGAGAGAATCTAAGACTTGGAGACTTGAAGATCGAAGAGAAAGCCAAGACAAGGGAGAAATTGGAGTTTCGGGGGTGAAATGAGAGTGGGTGAATGAAGGGAAGAAGAAGTAGGATGTGTGATCAAGTGGAATGTAAGCTATTCAGTAGTCTCATTAGAAATAGAAACCAGAGTATTCAATGAATAGGGAAGAGAGAGAGGAAGAGGGAGAGGAAAGTGAAGATCTGAGATTAAAGGATCCAGAATGTTTGGCAGAAGTCCATTTAGCACACACTAGCCACTGGATCCTCCCTGTGGCGTCGACCTCCACACTTTTCCGAACTTCTCTTCTCCAGTCATTTTCTCCTATTAATGACCCTCAAGTATAATACATATATAACATTGGGATATCTAATTGACCTTCTAAACTTGATCAAACATTCTTGATACTTTACCCCTTGAAGGATTTCTGACTTCACAAACTGTCAAGCGCCTAAAAATGGGGTTCTCCACACATCGGGGGATTTCAGCACGAGCACCCTTTACACCTTTCAAAGTTCCAATTCCAAGTACCAGAGTGCTTATCTTGTGTCACAACGTACACTTACACTTACAATATTATCTACTTACAGGGATAATACCTTTAGGACAGTATATATCATCGACCTGAACTGCACCCACCCGAACCTGCAGGTCAATCGCAGATGGTGGATCGTGGCTAATGATGCCGCCAGTCACCGACCTGGCATTGGCGTGTCCTTTAAGTACGGGAGTACTTTTTACCTTGCTTTTTACCTTCTTACTTCTTTACGACCTATGTTGTAGTGGACTTGTCAAGTTGAATATACTTTGGTTGTTTCCCTTCTACCTACTATTGCTACTGATGCTACCTGATGGAGAACTCCTATCATGGAGTATCTGACAGGCTACATGCTCCGGAGGATGTTGGATACATATTTGATGTTGAATTCAAAGGTTATTTCTAAACATGGATCCTCAATAACCACTAATATATGCTATTAGCCCTGAAGTCTTGTCACTCCTTCAGTCCAATCCTACATTCAAATCGTTATTACATAGTAGAACTGGAAGGGAGAAAAGGGCAAAAAAAAAAAAAAAAAAAAAGATAGGCCAATAGTATGCATTGGTTAATGAAGAAGACGAGATAGAATAATAACATGAAGCATAAGTTGATAATCTTATTCGAAAAGCTACATTGATGGTGCATGATGTACAACATAGATTGTCGCCTTGAAGCAACTCGGGGCCAAACAAACATGGGTAACTTCTCCGCCCTCCGCTAAAAGTCTCCCACCTCAACTTTCTCCATCTCTACGGCCTGTGGCGTCTTGTAGCTCCAAGCGAGCTCCAACATGTCGCTCCGAATTAACATTCCTCCCGCTACTCGAATCTGTCTCGTCAGCCTTCTCACCCTCTCCTTGCTCTACAACATTGCCAGATGGCGACAAATTGACAGCACCGGCGGGACCCCGGCCACATCTCCTCTCGTCCCCTACTTGACCCTCGTCCCCTCATTTTTCTACTACTATCCCTGGACAATCGTCACGGCCACCTTTGTCGAGCAGAATATATTCACCCTCCTACTAAACGTCTCCACCATATTCTATGGCGGCAAGTACCTTGAACGCGCCTGGGGCTCGCGCGACTTCAGCAAGTTCATCGCAGTCGTCGCCGTGATCCCCTGCGTCGCTATCATTCCAATCTACCTGGTCTGGGGAGCAGCGGGTGGTTCTTCAAACAGATCGTACGCATCGTCCCCTCCATCCTGCCGACCCCCAACACGAAGCAACCCAATTACCACCTATACCAAACACTAACCATCTCCCAAACAAAACAGCCTCACCCAAATCTGCGGCGGCATCTCCATCCAGGCCTCCTTCCTAGTCGCCTTTAAACAGCTCGTCCCAGAACACACCGTAACGATCTTCAAAGGAATAATCAAAATGCGCGTAAAGCATTTTCCCGCCCTCTTCCTCCTCCTAAACACCCTCAGCGGCCTCATCATCGGAACAGACACCGCCACAATCCTCTCCTGGCTCGGCATCCTCACCAGCTGGACCTACCTCCGCTTCTACAAGCGCCAGCCCGACCTAACTGGTACCTCAAGCGGCACAGGCATCAAAGGTGATGCTAGCGAGACCTTCGCATTCGCCTGCCTATTCCCAGACGTGATGCAGCCGCCTATCGCTTTCGTCGCGGACCAGATATACGCTCTGCTAGTCACAGCTAAGCTCCTGACGCCCTTTTCCCAGGACGATATTGCCTCCGGTAATGAGCTCGTGCTAGCAAGAGGCGAGGCGGGCTTGCCTACGCTACTGAACAACCAGCGTGGTGGGGCTAGGGGCGCGGCTAAGCGCGAGGAGGCGGAGCGTAGACGGGCTGTTGCGCTCAAGGCTTTGGATCGCAGGTTGCAGGCTGCTACTGTTGGGCGTGTGCAGGCTCACCCGTCTGGTTTGGGGGAGCCGAGTTCGTCGATGCCGCGTCCTGCTACGCCTACACCGGCTGCGCCTGTTGGTCAGAGTATGCTGGGGGAAACGAGCTACAATCCTGATCATGCTTGAATGTGGTTGAGTTCTTTTTTCTAACTCTGGCGTTTTCTGACGCATTTTGGGATTTGGCCTTGTGGATATCTTCACATTCGTGGCATGGCTTTGTTTGTGGCTTGGTTCCTTTTTTGTTCTATACTGATGGCGTGTGCACTTCTGATGATGTACATGATTTGTTTGACTTGGCTTGGGGCTTTGATTCCCACTTTACTTATTAGGCTGATGTCTTAGCGCCTGGCTATTTGGCCCTTTGGCCTCAAATTCCATTTGTTTTATACCAGACAGTGTAGTATGTCAAATACTATTTGGAGAGACAGTTTCGCTCTATTCATCTGCAACTTTACCCATTTTTAACGGGTTATGTCGCTTTATAAATTGTGTTCATTCTAACCTGGCTATTCGACTTCTGCATCCATCTCCATCTCAGCCTCTTCTTCGTCTAGCAATGGCACAAATCGGAAATCCACAAAGCATACAGGTCCATTGGGACCCTTTACGCCAGCGCCAACTGGTCTGCCCACGGGGACATTATGATCATCAAGCTCAACCATGAACTGCAAACTCAACACCCCTTGTCGATCCCCACGGATACTAACCTTATTAGCGACAGACATAGCTCTCGCAGCCTTGCGAATCAGGGAAAATCGGTAGCTCTGCTGAATGCGCTCGCCCATAGAATGAGGAGGAGAAACAAGGAAAGTCTCCGTGACCGTAGGTGCAAGTTTAGCTCTAGTTGCGCGAGCCCGGGATGAGCCATCATCGAACAACACCTTATGCATCTGAGATTGTGTAGTGCCATGACCAGCGCCGGCGGCGGTCTCGTTGTGCTGATCAACCGAGAACTCCACAGTAGATTCACTAAACGGACCGCCCGCACCGGAAAGAGTAAAGTACGGTTCTTGCTTGGCGCAGGCGGACAGTTTCAGGATTGTGGGGGTTGAGGAGTCGAGTTCAGCGATCGCATTGTGTAGCCAGGCAGAGCGCATAATAATTTTCATGATGATGGCGTCGCGCTGGAGGGGAATGTCTGCTTCGTTTTCGTCGGGCTCATATGTTACGAGCTCGCAGGTTGTTTTCACGCCAGCTTCTGTTATGGTGATGCTAAGTGGGGCGCCGTGTTGGGCATATTGCAGGGTGCAGGAGCGGTCCATTAGCAGGGCTGGAGCGTTGAATGCGCTTGACGACGCGATCCCGGTTTGGGTGATGCTAGTGTCGCGGGGTCGGTTGGATTCGGAGAGCTCGTTGATGCCGAATATCTTTAGAGTTTCGAGGATAGCGGAGAGGGAAACGACAAAGTGAGGATATGCCCCATTTTGCGAAGATTCATTGTCGTCTTGGGGTGTTCCGTTTTGATTGTTGGGTTCGGAGTCGGTCGATGGATTAAATGTGTAGCTGGTGAAGAGCGACTTGTCGAGGAAGGCTAGTCCTTGAATGACGCGGCCTTCCTCCACTGAGAATCGAAGGCCATCTGGGGTGATTTGGACTGTGGCCTTATGTGCGAAACCAATGCAGGAGAGCAGCGTGTAGAGATGGTGGGCGTTGTTGGAGACGCCAGCGAAAAGGGGCTCCATTTTGTGGCTTAGGCTGCTAGCTCGAACTCTTCAGACGTGATACTAGCACAGAGCAAAGATAACGAGTCCGAATATGTGTGATGGCTTTGGATGTTCTAGCAGTACAGGCCCCTTCGAACCTAACGCCTATGGTACATTTGAGGGGACGCGCAATAGGGAAAGGTGGCAGGTTAGACGTAGACTCCGGCGGCGCAGATCATAAACACAGCTCCAAAGCTATCCAGAATGCCCGATCAGTATATCGTATGTCTAAAAATGGATTGCAGTGCATTACTAACCCAGATGCGAGTGCGGCTGGGAAACCCAAGGATACGATGCCGAGGAAAGACCGATCTGTTTGGTGAAATGTCAGAGTCCAATTCGGATAATTGAATTTGGAGTTACTTACTCAAGCCAAATAGAGTGCCCGTAACCAATGCTATCAATATTCAGTCAGAGGTTGGCTATTTTCAAAGCTGTGGTAGACTAAGAAGCTTACCGAGGAGAAGCAAGTTGAAGCCAACAGAGAATTGGCTGTCCTTAGCAATGAGAGGGATGAATGGAGTTGCAGATGCTGCCTCCCAGACTTCGTTCAGAGACATTAGGATAATAGAATTTGATAATTGTAATTGAGGGACAAAATTGATGCAGTTCAAAGGTCGAAGGTGACTATTGTGAGTGAGTGATATAGATCGCCAGTGTTGATCTGGCCCGACCGGTCGTTAGTTGTTCCGACCGATACCCCATGTCATCGTCAGCGCAGGGCCAAGTTTGAAGGGCGAGGACATCATGGCTGTTGATTCACCAAAGAGTAAGTGGAATATTTATAATCCCACATTGTATTTTGCGAAACTATTTTTAACGTGTCTCTATGGTATCAGGTTTCAAGCGCAAAGCCTCTGAGGAGGCAGCTTCCCCAGACTCTGGGCAGCAGATAATCAAGAAGAAGGCGCGGACAGATTCACCTGTGAAAGAGGTAGGAGATTCTACTCAGTCGCTTCGCCTATTTGTTCTAACAAGTACCCCGCACAGGAAGATGGTCTCCTTAAAAAGCCTCCACTCCGCATTGTTCCATTCCCTGAGAAGGTACCCTCCCATCCTACGCCACCGCTTCTCATGTCTCTCCATGAGCAATGGCTGACGATACACAGCCCGCTGTTCTCGAAGAACGTCGAGGTGACATTGAGTTTCGTGTCGTCAACAATGATGGTGCACACGATAGCTTTATTGTCTTGACAGGCTTAAAGTGTATTTTCCAGAAGCAACTTCCGAAGATGCCCAAGGACTACATCGCACGCCTTGTCTACGATCGATCCCATCTGTCTATGGCTATTGTCAAACACCCACTGGAGGTTGTTGGGTATGTCATAATTGCCAAGTACTACCCCAGAGCGGTTAGATTCGGATACTGATGTCTACAGAGGAATCACGTATCGTCCGTTCAATTCTCGAAAGTTTGCTGAGATTGTCTTCTGCGCTATATCCTCGGACCAACAAGTGAAGGGATATGGTGCACACTTGATGTCTCATCTCAAGGTACGTGTGCTTACGGGTCTATAATGTTTATCCATATATCTAACTTGTTTACCATTAAGGACTACGTGAAAGCTACCTCTCCAATTATGCACTTCCTTACCTACGCCGATAACTATGCCATTGGATACTTCAAGAAGCAAGGCTTCACCAAGGAGATCACACTCGATAAATCAATCTGGATGGGCTACATTAAGGATTACGAGGGTGGCACGCTCATGCAGTGTACCATGCTCCCCAAGATCCGTTATCTGGAGATGGGCCGCATGCTCACCAAGCAGAAGGAGTCTGTGCAAGCCAAGATCCGTGCTTTCAGTCGCTCGCATATCATCCATCCTCCTCCGAAGGAGTGGAAGAACGGGGTATACCCAATCGATCCTCTTAGCATTCCCGCAATTAAAGAGTCTGGATGGTCGCCAGATATGGATGAAATGGCTCGTCAACCACGCCATGGACCCAACTATAACCAATTGCTGCACCTGTTGAATGATATGCAAAACCATAGTGCAGCCTGGCCATTTACCCAACCCGTGAACCGCGATGAGGTTCCAGACTACTACGAGGTAATCATGGAGCCCATGGATCTGTCGACCATGGAAGAGAAGCATGAGAAGGACCTGTACCCCACCCCACAGGATTTCATCAAGGATGCCATGTTGATATTCGACAATTGCCGACGCTACAATAATGAAACCACACCCTATGCTAAGAGCGCAAACAAACTTGAGAAGTTCATGTGGCAGCAGATCCGAAATATTCCAGAGTGGTCGGTAAGTATTTACAATGAAGGTTTTTTTTTTTTTTTTTTTTTCAAGAAACACAAGCTAATTTTCCCATCTAGCACCTTGCCGATAATCATTGATCCCGGGACATACATTTATTGCAGCGAGGGTGTTTTTATGGGATGGCGTTGGATTGGAACTTGATGGGCAATACCCTGTTGATAGATTACCACATGCAATTTTCACTGGCTTATGAATGAATGCCAGTTCATGGATTTTTTTCCCCCAACGTTGATTTAGTGTACAAAGTCTACATTGTAGATCAATGTCAAGCTCCATCCATCTATGAATGGATATGTTGATCTTCGCACCAATCACATCTGTACATGCCATGCTTGGTATTGTGGGGCTAATATATGTCAAGCTCAAATTGATGTTCATTGTATAGAGTAGCAGCAGTTATTTATAGAAGATAGTTATAAAAGACATAACTAGATTGAATGTAAACATATAGTTAACTAGTAACTATGTATGATGATATATGAAGCAATAACCTAAAACATCAACGTTAATTTCCCCCCTGACAGATCTTAATCTCGGATTATCATTGTTCCGACGTCTCAAGAATAATGCTGATGGCTGGAATGGCCTTCACTTTACCCTTACGTCTTTCGTTTCGCAGGACTCGTCTTTTTCAAGTTTCATTGTTTTCTTTTCTTTTTTTTTTGCTATTGCTGTTGCTGAGCCGACCTCGTTGTGTTGTGACCTCAGGGGCTCTCCCGATATCCACACACCATCCGTTGTGTACCTCACGACGTGGAGATTAATACTTTTCAACCCCTCTCATTTCGCTCTTGATCGTCTATCATTCGCTTTCAATCGGCTACTTTTACTCATCACATCTTTCAGAGTTGTTTGGGATCGCTCACTCGCCCGTCAACACGACCTTAATCTATCCCCCTTTTTGCTCCCCGGGGCCCCGCCTTCGCTTTGAAATTTCGGTGCTAGTCACAACACCATTTCCTACTCTAAAACACATTACCGATATGTCTCATCATGACTTTGTCGACGCGGAGTCGCGTAATCGGCTACCGACCCTCTTTGAGGTGCTCAGTCGCCGAACTCTCGCCCCAGTCGACCTCTTTTCGTTCTACATTTACATGCGCGACCAGCAGCGTTCTGTAGACTACCTAGACTTTTGGTACGTGTAAGCCTACTTTCGATGCCCGTATCTGAAGTTAACGGGATCTCTAGGCTGGATGTATCGCAACATATGCTACTGTGCCGACACTATGTCCGTGAACTCCGCCGTTCCGTACTTGTCGCGACCCCCGATATGGAAAGAGCCGATAGCAAACGATCATCTGCCATGCTAGACAATCTTGAGAACCTAGGTGATATCCCGCTGACGGAGGCTGGGCCTTCTCGTCAACGCGGATTCCAAGAAAATGAGAAAGATAGAGATGCCGACCAACGCCTGTCTGCATTCCTTCGCTCCGAAGGCCACACCACATCACCCTCCCGGCAAAACAGCCTGGGATCTTCCGGCGAATCAGCACACCAAATCTCTTCGTTTGAAGATGGCCGTGACACACCAGATTCCCGACTCAACGACTCAACATCCCCCGGACACACCGTGGCCCGCAATGACATTCGCGCCAGTGCAGAGAAGATCTTGTACACATATCTACTTCCCGGTTCAGAGCGAGAGATTATGCTACCAGAATCCATGGTTTCCACAATTATCAACTTGGTCGAAGACGACGGCCGAGACGACCCTGAAGTGTTCGACCCGGCCAAGGACTACGTGTTCCAGGCTATGGAGCGTGATGCATTCCCAGGATTCTTGCAAGCAAAGGCCCTTGGAAATATGGTTCCCCTGAGTATCATCTTGCGCCTCGCTTTTGCTCTGATTAGCTTCGGTGGAGGATTTTGGGCGGCCTTCTACGTTGTTCTGCGGGATAAGCCCCGGAACATTCGCTGCTGGGTATGTTTATTATTCTCTCTAACCACCGATGAGCCAGCTTGCTAACTTTAATCCAGATTATTCTTCCATTTGCTGTCGCTGCATACTTCATTATCTCCTACCAATACAAGATCGACCCCGTTATGGCGTTCCTGGGCTACAGTGAATACACTTTCATGAACTGGGCACCAATTCGCGAACCCTATGTCCGAAAGCTGCTCAACAAGCGTGCTCTCGTCACTGCATTGATCGCCTTTCTCACAGCGGCGGCTCTAAGCATCTTGTTCATTTTCGTCCCTGGTACTATGCTGTGAGCTTTTCGCCAAGTCTAGTCTACATCCAATCCAAACTTCGAAAAACAATCGCTCCCTGAACTTGTCTGGTCATCTGGTCATTCTTGCCATGTCTACAATTCAATCGTCTTGACTTGACTTGTTCAAGGCATTTCCACCGTGTGCGAATGGCGAGGTCTTGCTTCTATGATGCACATTCTTGAAAAACACTATGTCTCGAATCTGCACCCCATTTTCATCCTCGGAGCTATAAAGAGGGAATATTGTTTTCTCTATTCGCCCTATCCACCCGCTTATCAGCGGTCACATCTACTTCCTCTTTGTCATGTCTATATCTATTGTGTCTATTGTTTTCCTGTGGTCTTTTCTTCCCTTCTACCAATACCCCTTCTGACTTCGAAAACGTTGTATTGTATCTATTTTCTCACTAATGAGCGTCGCCATTAAGGCCTTACGAATGCAATTTGCTCCTATCCACGGGTTTCATATCACATGAGATATCGTCTGTAAAAATGAAACTAAACCATAATCAAGTCATTTCATATCGTAAATCCTGTTGGAGCCGCTATGATCTTCTAAGCCACATAACCATGAGCAAATGAGGGAATAGAGTCATGTGAATACATCAACACATCAACACATCCACACTTCAAGACTTGCGCCCCAACACCCTCTTTGGCTGCCGACTATTTCCCGCACGAGCACCAGGTGTCTCATCAATATCCATGCGCGAGCTATTCTCACTACCATCATATGTATCAAAGTACCCATCATCCTCATCAATGTCATCCGCATCCCTCTTACTCCCCCCGACACCAGCGCCAAGTCGACCACCGCGCCGACCACCCTTCCTCCCCGTCCTTTTCTTCCTCTTGACAGCCTCATCGAGCGCATCTTTGTGTGCCTGGGCACGTGCAGCACGCTTCGCAGCGTCGCTCTTGACGCGCGCAATCTCCGCCTCCAAATCGGAGACGACCTCGCCGCAGCGCGATTCCCACTCGCTCAAGTTGGAGATCATCTGAGGGAGGGACTGGGGTTGAACATCGCGCAGTGGGGCGACGGCTGTCACGTTCACAGATGGTGGGTTAGAGGCTGGTGAGAGGC